CCATGATGCCTATTAATATGAACAATTGACTAAGCTATATCTCTTCCTCGGTGGGTCAGCGGTAATTATACGGATTTATCACGCTAAAATCTGATGTACGGTACAGCAGTTATGTTTGATGCACACTAAGCTTGAAACCATGGTTTTGTTTGGCATTGTTTCACTTATTCTCAGATAAAGATTGTTTTTGTTTCGTCACAGAGACCATTCTGCCTGTTTGAGTTATTATTTCAAGAAGGCTAGAGTTTCGTCTCGAGGAACGTTACCAGGAGCTGACCTTTCAGAAATTGACTTTTGTGAGGTCGATGGCAAGTTCGATTGGGAATCAGGTGACGAAGAAAAGGATGAAAATGAAGATTGGGTTGACTTGGAAGACGATCTTGAAGAAGCTGATGGAGTTATAAAGGATTCTAGTCGAATATCCGTAGGAAAATTAAGTGGAATTTCAGATGTAGCCAAAGAATGGGTTTTTTATCGTCGCATCCGGAGAAAGAAAGATGAATATACAATTAGAAACAAACAGGCGAGTCTTTTGTAGATTAAATTTTTATTGGTAAGTTTCTAAATAACTTTATATTTATTTAAGAAAATTAAATTGAATGGTTTTGAAAATTAATAAGTTTGAGAAAAATGGAGCTTTATTAGCGTAGGCTCTGAATTTAAATGTTCACATTAACGTTATTTTGTAAATATCTGTATTTTTTTACTGTATAATGAAAGCATTATGAATATATTTCCAATCATCACGAATGATATACATCCAACACATTTTCTAAAATTAACATCATGGACATGGGATCTTACATTGCTGTTCTTCGAAGAAGCCATCTAATATTTTTACTTTTTTGTGAGTAAATCGTTCTTAGCAACGACATAAACCTAAATTTGATTACCGTAGATACGTCAATTGGATGTGTAGTTATTACGTCACTCTTGTTTCTATTCTAGGCGAAACAACGTGCACGAGATTGTTCGCACGCACTGGACATTCTGGAAGACCTCAATCGTGGACGTCAGATAAAAAACATTCTAGATCATCACTTTGATTCAACTTTGTTCCAAGGAACGATGGATCTCTCGAAAGCAGCCGTTGCTGGTCATTCCTTCGGTGGCTCCACTGTCATTTTAGCCCTCGCCATGGAATTACGCTTTAAGTGCGTTGTAGAGAAGCATTTTAATAACCAAATAACAAAAGTTGAATCCAAAATGTATCTCACTTTAGATAAATGTTTGTAATGGCATCAACTTGACATTTTAATACAACATAACACATTAAAAAACACATTAATTAAACAACGCAGTAGGAAATTGTATAAATGTATGCCGAAACAATACGTTCTATCTACGTGGTTTTGTTAGGCGTGAAGCTGCATAATTGGCTATATGTGCTCTGCCCATTGCGAGTATCGAAACCTGACTTTTTAATGTTATAAACACTGAGACACAAGGGCTTATCTACGTGAACCAAACGATTTATATTTGATCTTTCTTTCAAACATCAAACGTGATGTGTAATGAGGTTGAAATATTACCCATTTGATATAATTATAATGCGGTCGTATTTTTGTAGGGTTTTACTACCTTAATGTTTATTGATATGTATAATTGACTAAGATATGTTGTTCTCTGGTGGATCAACGGCAAGTTTACGGGGTATAATGATAATGCGGTCATATTTTTGTAGGGTTTTGCTCCCATGATGCCTATTAATATGAACAATTGACTAAGCTATATCTCTTCCTCGGTGGGTCAGCGGTAATTATACGGATTTATCACGCTAAAATCCGAGGTTCGAGTTCCTGTGGTGGACACAGTGCAGATAGCCCATTATGTAGCTTTGCATTAAAGACAAAAACAATGGCTAATATATAAAATAATGTGCTTGTTTTCTTTGTGTAAAAATATTAAATGAGTTATGTTTAACTTCCAAGTTGAACCTGTCTCTAAAAATACATTTGAGTTAACTATCAATAACGTATACATAGTAAAAAGAAGTTATCGAAAAAAAATATATGTGGATTACCATTGTTTTCTTCGTAAGTGTAATCCTGATAATTCAGATATCATTAAAACAGTTGTAGGGGGGGGGGGGATGTTGATTAATGTTTCGATCAAAAACATTTCACTGAGATCAGCACGAAGAAATATCGTCCATCCGAACCATTTTTTCATTTTGTCTCTCACGCAATTATTTTAACAGTGTTTATATTTTCGGCTATTGCCACGCTGTACCTGTATTTATTCGCTTTTGTTCGATTTTTCAGTCTGATTAAAAATTATTGTGTTTACTCTTGATTAGCTTCAGATATCACCGTACTGACTGTGTAATTGCTTGGTATTTGTATTACCATTTGTAATTTTATGTTCAAACGTTTTCAGACCCTGATGTTTATATAATGTTACGATAATTACTGATGAGTAAGTAAAAGTACTGTGATCGTGACGCTATGTAGCGAAACAATTACTCAGTCTTTTTTTCTTTTTTTCAGTTTAGAATATCTTGTACCATCACAATATTTCGCGAACTTAACCTTGACTTGAAGAATTGCATTTCCCTGCGTTTTAAATATTTTCATAGCTTTGGTTATGTTTTGGAAAACTAAAACTAAATATGTTAGTTCTATAATATTTTCAAACATGAAACTTAGGTCCTGTAAATGTCACAATAAGCATGAACATAAACTGTATTAATTAATAATTCAACATAAAGCAGATATTGTAAAACATTTATTAATTTTATGTTTAATCTGATAAGTTCTTCGTATGCTTAAGAATAATGTGTGATAATAATAATGATGAAAAAATATTATTGCATGTAAATCCTAAGACAGATAAAATATTATAACAAACATATTAATTCTCTTATAAAAACCCATGAAACAACATGCTTATTTGTAAACCATTTTGTGTTTCAGGTTAGGCTTAGCTTTAGACTGTTGGATGTTCCCATTGAGAGAGAACCAAGACCTGTTTTCCATGGTGACGCAACCGATTCTTTTCATTAACATGGAGAAATTTCAAACGTGGGAAAATCTCGATGTTATGAAAAACCTGGAGACTGAAGAAATTGAACGGAAAGTTGTGACCATCAAGTTGGTTTAGTTTTTTAAATATTATTGAATTTCATGGATTTTATTTCTCTGTCATTAATACCCATCGATTACTTCTTTGGTACTTAATGACTATAAATTGTTTTGGTGACATGACCTGGAAATGACTTTTAGGTAACTAGGTAAATTAAAAATATATAGTAACAATTATACTTCTCGAGATTGAGCACACAACATACTGTTTATAAAAATAAACATATTGTACTGGATAGTAATCTCTTAGAGATTTTTACATAACAGTAAAAACAGTAACCGGTTTTTTATTGAAATTAATAACTGAAATACTGAATCTTCACAACTACCTTATCTTAATATTAACTTGGGACACCTTCAACCATTAATTCTCATCTAAATTTCAATATATTTGTATTGAAAACAATATAATTCAGCATGTATTAGCCTCTTCATTTAAATGGTATAAGGAACATTTTTTCCAATTTTATATGTTAACTTTTGTTGTTCAAATTACTCCGTTATTAACTCGGGGTAACTCCTAATCCCCATTCAAATGAACCACAATTCGTCATGTGTGAACATATTTTATTCCAAAGTACTAATATATTTACTACCTAAGTGGCTCAAGGAGTATTTACCCAACTGTTCCCTTATTAATCATGTTTTTTTATGGTCCTGCGTTCGAAAGCAGCTCCCGACTTTGAGTACTGTTGTTTTTTCGCATTCTAAATGAAATAAATGCCTAACATCTTCTACTTTATTTGCAATGAAATCCTTTATTTTAATAATTCGTTTTGAATACTACCAAAAATATTACAGTTTTTTCCCTTTTTTATTTCTTCACATTTATTTGTACTGTACTTGTAATGACTAACCTTTATTTCGTTAAAAATATGGCAGTGTTCCTGTTAGGTCCAACTTGTTATATTTTTAAAATGTTGGTCTTCTTGTGGTAGCATTTCACTCTTCTATAACTAGAATACGAAAAAATCTTTATTGATGTATACTCAGGTGAGAGTATTCAAAAATGTTCATGTAGATGTTTTGCACTTTGTTCATTTCAGTAAACACGAGTGCTATCTGCGCTAGCCGTCCCTAATTTAGCAGTGTAAGACTAGAGGGAAAGCAGCTAGTCATCACCACCCACCGCCAACTCTTGGGCTACTCTTTTACCAACTGTCACATTATAACGCCTCCACGGCTGAAAGGGCGAGCATGTTTGGTGTGACGGGGATTCGAACCCGCGACCCTCAGATTGCGAGTCGAGTGCCTTAACCACATGGCCATTAAATTCTAGTGATGGTAGATTTTGTTTGTAATTAAGCACAAAGCTTCACAATGGGCTTTCTGTGCTCTGCCCACCACGGGTATCGAAACCCGGATTCTAGCGTTGTAATTTCACAGACATGCCGCAGTGCCACTGGGGGGCGTGATGGTAGAAGTATCCTGAATAAAATACGGTAAAAATTTACGTTTGAATGGACGATTAATAATTTTACTGGGATATTCGGGATAGTTTGTTTTTTACTGTGTATTAAATATAATAATTTACAAAGTTACCATTTCCACGAGCATGGCCATGGTAAATTAGTGATGACTAACGCAAGTGCAGCAACAGTTATTAAAACAAAACTCAAATATTGCAGAATATTTTACTTTTAGCTCATTTACATATTTATGGAGATGATAAATGGAGATAATATTTTCGCCGTGTTGAAATTACTAATCCGAAACGACTGTTTATTAATCCGCCGGCACCCACGTTTGCACTCCATCTGTTTTTAGCGGATCAATACCGATATATTGACTGTGAGTGCTGAAATAGTACACCAACTAGCTCTCCTTGTTGATCATGTGACATCTTGCGATATGAAGAAATGACGAAAATCGATTAAGCGTCAGTCTTCCAACTTTTTTCCATCTTTTCATGTGTATTTTACAAGCATACAATAGCACCCAACAAATGAAAGCAAGACACATGTTGCTGTGGCAACGAACACGTCACGCTGAGAAGATTAGAAAGTTTGACTAACCGACGTATTCACACTGGAAGATTGCTGTCATTGGGATGCAAAGGTACAAAGATATAAAAAAATATTTTTTTAAAAGTATATATGTGATAAGCGAGATCTCGCGAGGAATTCAATCATAAAGCGCCCTCTTGTAGCGAATTAGGAAAACTCATGATTTAACATAATAAATAAGCCGAATTAGCTTCCCGATAGATATTTTGGGTAAAGTTAATTCGTAACAGTGCATTCACATTTAGCTCAAAATCCGAAATATGGGATTTGTGCCGAATGAAATGTGTAATGCCAACAGCATTAGTGGCGTATATAGGCCTACGAAGTCCTAGGGGCAAGAATATTTTGAGCACCCCCACCCAACTTAACCGTCGTTGTGTTACTTCAGTAAAATATTGCACTGGAGTGTAAAACAATTGAAATAAAGCCATCTTTTCTTTACCTTGTGTAATATTACGGTAAGTATTTGTGCGTTTTGGGGAGAATCTAGTTGTTGATTAGTTGATGTCCTCAAAGATTGATGCATCTGTACGCAAGCTGGCCTTTCATGAGTTGCAGCTTTGTATTAAGGTGATCCCTGGGACCTAAATGTAATATCCGGTATGTCGTTCAAGTGGAGACTGAGTGTCATCAGACGGGCCTCTGGGGGCAAAAAGTAATGCATATATCTTGGAAGTGAACTTTTTATCAGTTGGGATTGAGTTAGGTCTTCTGGGGCAGCTACCCCGACTGCCGCACCTATGTGTATGCCATTAATGATACTGGAGTCTATGTAGTAAGGCAGGAAGGAAAAACAGATGCACTAGGCACAATATTAAAAACTGGGTATTATTATTCAGTACATCCCAAGATTTACACCCTAAGATATATGTAATGAACAACTTCATCAAGTCAAATTAAAAATTACCTCTTGTTTATCATCTACGCAACAAAAATGGCTTCGTGAATTTATTTTAGTTTTGGCACACGTTTTTGTTAGCCAATAACCAGTGCTATATGAAGAGAACACTTGCTATAGCTTATACAATAAAGTCGAGTATGTTTTCTCTGTTGTTCACTCAAATTTTTTGTGTCCATTTCCAGAGGATGTAAAAGTATGAACTGAGAGTACATGTATCTCTTTGATTTAAAATCAAGATATATGTACATGACACATTTATTGTACGAAGTAGCTACATAGTTGTTTTGTTTTAATAAGTTTAAATAAATCACTTAGAACAGTCCAGTGACGTTATTAATCCCAATTTACACGTACCCTTCTCTATGTTTACATGAGGTTGCTGTCATCACTAAAATTAAATATGAAATGATAAAATACATATACGGAGTATGAATGGACGCTTCTACCAATCATGCGGTGATTGGGATGTAAGATATATTTTTTAGTTACGACAAACAGTTAACATTGCTCGAAGTCAGAAGTAGCTTCCGAAGTTAGGATTCTAGCAATTGAACAAATTAAGTTAACATTTAATTTTGTGGTAAGTTATTGGATCCTAAAGACATTAATTATTTGTGATGAAAGGTTAACAAGTTTTGGCTTTCCATTCATCTGGATAGGATTAGCGATTTAAATTATTCCAACTTGATAACAAGTAGAGTTCTGAAAAAAAGGGAAATCTAAGCTTATAAAAGTAAAAAAAAAAAAAGTTTGTTTGTTTGTTTGCGGACTACTCCGTGCTCTTTGGACCAAATTTGGTAGGATGGTACAATAGACCATGGAGCATGTCATAGGATGGTTATTACCTAGTCTTACTCACCCTGCCCCCCAGTGGAACAGCAGAATGTCTGCGAATTTACATCGTTAGATACCAGTAGTTGGCAGAGCACAGATAGCCCATTGTGTAGCTTCGAGCTTAACTACAAGCAAACACCCTGGGCTACGTCCACAGCAAAAATATGTTTATTTAGCTAATGACTCTACACTCTTGGATCAATTTTTATTCCTAAAACTTTTTATTTTGAGTTTTTTCATTAAAAATGTCCTACATTCACATTTTTGTCATGAAATATGGCAACCAAAGCACAAGGCCAGACCCTTAAAATGGCAGGGCTGCATCTGAAAACCCCTTGCTTTTCATATGGTCTGTCCTATGTTGGGTATTCAAGAGTAGGATCACCAAGAAATCTCTTTATTTTATCCAAAGAAGGAGGAAGAACTTCTAATGTGGTTCATCAAAAGGCATTCAGAGTATCAACAAAAATGTATTAATAAAAGTGGCCCAGCATGGTCAGGTGGTTAGGGCACTCGACTCGCAATCTGCGGGTCGCGAGTTCGAATCCCCGTCACACCAAACATGCTCGCCCTTTCAGCCGTGGGGGCGTTATAATGTGACGGTGAATCCCACTATTCGTTGGTAAAAGAGTAGCCCAAGAGTTGGCGGTGGGTTGTGATGACTAGCTGCCTTCCCTCTAGTCTTACACTGCTAAATTAGGGACGGCTGGCGCAGATAACCCTCGTGTAGCTTGGCGCGAAATTCAAAAACAAAAAACAAATATATATATATATATATATATATACACACACACACACACACACACACACACACACACACACACACACACACACACACA